TTTGCAAACCACTGTATCTCTGTGAATCATTTTCCATAGCCAGTAATAAAACACAAAGCTCAATGATAAAGGTAAACTGTCCCCAGCCTCTTCAGGTTCCTGCTCATAAAATGATTGTCATCATAATCCACTCCTCGACTGGATGAAGCAGCACAACTCATTTCTTAAAAAGACCATTATGTGTAGACAACACTTAAGCTTGTAACTCTTAGGGTTCTAAAACTAGTTGAAGACTCAATTTCACACAAATTGCCGCAAATTCATTCACATAGATACCAGGGGTGCAACGATACAGAAAATTCACGATTCGGTTCGGTCTTACAGTTCAAGATTTTTTCGATACAAAAAAGAGAAATTTCCATGCCCTTTTTAACTTGTAATTTGGTTAAATTAAGTATGAACATTTGTTTGACCTCAAAAATACAGCTTTTAAATTAAATGTTGCTGAAACAGCAAGTTTCTCAGTGGATCTGAGCTAAAAAATGCAGCCTAGGACACAGATCTACTGATCTTTTAACACAGAGCATCTTCAGAAGACAAGCTGATAAAAATATTTAAAGAAAATCTGTATTGTTCGATGCAAATGTGTATTGAACCTAAAGCACTGTATTGAATGGTTCAATATGGGTACATGTATTGTTGCACCCCTATAGATACATATTTCCAAATGAGTTTTGGATAAATAATTCTGATAACAAGTCAAATAAAAAGATAAAGACAGAGTTTTTACTTCACACAGCAAAATCATAATCAGCTACGTTAAAAATCCTGATTAATTTGATCAATAAAAAGTTAAATGAATTAACTCAGAGCAATTAGTGGATTTAGAGTGAGTGTTATGTTTTTATATTCCTTTGAATATTAGTTTTTCTGTAAAGATGCTCGAATCATCAATATTCATCTTTCATCTTTAGCTCAGATGTAAACCAGAAACAGAGGTGACAGACAACCCAACAAACTCAGATCCAGAGAACAACTTCAGTTTTCTCTCAACAGTTCAGAGGGTTTGAATCTTCTCAACATGCATTTCAAGTGACTTTTTGTGTTTTACTGTCAATAGTTGGAGCCTCTGAGTCCAAATACCAGATGGTGCAATCAGAAAATTAAAGCCTTGACCAAGAAGTTCAGCTTTAAGATCTTAGATGGTTTTCTTTACCCATTTTCTACCATTCACATTATTAATCTGATCAACCTGGGGTTGCATTTCCTCTTGCGTCCACATAATCTTGTCAGCTGTGGTCAGAGAAACATGAAGCAACTTGGAGATGGTCCTGTAGCCTTTAGCTTTAACATGTAGATCTACAAACTTCTTTCTGAGCTCATAATGACACCAAACCTACAAGTTTGTTCACTTAGGCCTGGTTCACATGGCAAGATTTTAAAATTGTTGACCTATTTTCAAATTCTGAGAGAGCCCACGTGAGGATGAAAACCGTGGTCCTACAATGTGTGGTGTACAGCCACACAGCAAGAGACAACACACCACACACGAAAAGATATTTCATTCATTAACATTCAGATGCTAACATCTGAATGTTAATTCAGCCATATTAGCCATATTAAACCACACGAGACTTCTTGAAATCTCGCGAGAATTCAGATGTCAGAGGAAAAATCTCACGTGACCTCCAGAGAGACGAAAGTTCAAAGTAAATAAACATTTGTGACAAGGAAGAAACAATGTTGATCGTTTAAAACAATTCAAAATGACTTTTAATGTCCAGAGGACTTTCTGGTGAGTCATGACAGATCATGTCTTCTGTATTTTGGATTTCCCTCCGTGTTCACATCACCTTGCTTTCTGATTGGCTACACGTCTCATTCAACAGGCTGTGAGCTCATTTGTTTTCAGGGTGAACACCACACATGCTGGGATATCAGGCCAAAAAAATCCAGCTTAATGAAAATCCATGATTTAAGATCGGAGCGGTCCTGAAGTCCTTCTGATCCAACTAGATCACTCTTGACTCACCACACACGGGAAGAAAATCTGCTAATATAATCTTTAGTGCCATCTCAATAATCTGAGCATCTTTAAGATTGTCAGAAGGGCAAAAATGATCAGCCATGTGAACCTGACATTAAACAGACTGAATATTGAATGAACATCTTCAAGACTCCTGTAATACAAGGTTGAGCTTAAACACTTAGAGATGTACTAAAGTAGCTAACACAGGCTGAAATATTTAACACACACATTAGTGATGGGATAAATGGCTCTTTGATGGGATCCAGATCTTGGGGAACCGTTGGTTTCATACAGCCATTCAAAAGAGCCGTTTGATGTTGCACATGTTATGTCATCACGCAGGTAAATACGTCATCACATATGGCGACGTAATGACATCATCACGTTACGTTGGTGGAACCATGTGTTTTGTCAAGCGGAACCCCTCTCCCCCTTTCCGTGAGCTTCTGTATTCCACCGCTCTGCCTGTTTTTCGTGAAAAAGCAAAGCGGGAGTGATTCAAGGATGAAAAAATAAAGATTATATGAGGAATAAAATAAACTACAAATGGCTTGTTACTGCCCGTGACTCGGCTTCTGTCGTTCGATGTAAAGAGCCACTCCGATTTGGATCATTTGTGAACATCACGTCACTAAAACACATCAATCATCTTGTGATCTTGAGATCTCTTGTTTTCTCGAGTTTAATTTGTTATATTGTAGTGTCCTAAGAGTTGGGGTTTGTCTCAGGAATGCACAAATGTGAGGCCTCTGAGTTTCAGCTTTAGAGCTCGGCACATATTACCATATTTGGAATAGGAATGCCTAAGGTATACCGTGACAAAATTTATGAGGCCTCTGTTGAACTACACTGTGAAACCTATTAAAGAGCCTTGTTTGCCCCTGTTCTGGGCCTTCGTTTGTCCATCTTTCTTACTTGGTGAATCATTTGGCTTGGAGGCCACAATTTGGTTTTTTAGGCTGTACTGTATCTCCTGAACTTCAAAAATAAAGGTTCTTGCTGTTCAAACCAGCCTTGTTTTCAGAGTCATTTTTCATCGAGCAAACAGCAGTTCCACTTCAACCAGAAGACGTGGTTTTCTACACCTCAATATCAAGAAGACCATTGGGACAAAAAAGGTCCACTCTCGGCTAATTTAACGTGTTTGCCTTCGTGAATAATAGAGATGTGACGTTCAAGAATGATCCAAATCGTTTGAACAACTCCTTACAACAAACAACAAGAACCAAGATGACGGCAGTAAAAAGCTGTTTCTAGTTTTATTTTTGATACTACTTGTAATACCCTTATTTTTTCATCCTTAACCAGAGAGACAATCACTCCTCCTTTGCTTTTTCACTGAAAACAGGCAAAAATGTGAAGTACAGCAGCTCAGGGGGAATGAGGGAGAAGGGGGGTTCTGCTTAACAAATCACATTGTTCCGCCCACGTGATGCAATAACGTCACGTGCGATGACTTAACTCATTCTAAACTGGACGGTTCTATAAAACAAATGGCTCAACAAGATCTGGATCCCTTCAAAGAGCCATTTGTCCAATCTCTAAAGAATATCCAGACTACATGATGATTTTCAGAACGTGCAAAATGCAAATATAATAATTTAGCAGGTTTAGCTGAACCTAGTTCCTGCAGCTGTGTTTAGCACTTTTGAAAGGCACGTGTAAACTGGCTGCAGTGCTGTTGTACCTGCTCTGCCTCAGCCCCCCCATGTTTATTATGAGAGAATACTACTGATTATTTGTGAAATTTACAGATTTCTAAACATCAGGTAAATGTCTGCAGTTGTTGACATTTGAAGCCAGTCACAAATGAAATCCATATCTCTTAAGGAAAAACTCCTTGCAACGCTGCACTTTTGTGCTTTTGTATCCACCAGCCAGTAGCATACTAAACATTCACTTCAACAGGGTTGTCTGCATCACTTTTGCACCTGTTATCATTTGTGTAGCAATCTTAGTAGATCACTCACAAACACGCCCGTCATGTGCGATCTTTTTTTTGAGTTTGTAGAGCAATTTAGCACTTGTTACTTGGAATTTTGGTAAATCAGGCTCTTACTTTGAAATATCACTATGATTGAAAGATTATTAGTACTTTTAAGCATATTAACAAATCTGTCTTTAGTATTTAACACATCTTTGTAAAATAAACTAATCATTTAATACATTTGTTGACAAGGAGTGCAGATATACTTCTCTGAGGCATTGTTTCAGTGAGCTGTATAGGCACCAGGTTTGATGTATTTCCTGACAGTTATCTTCTTGTTACCTGATGATGCACTTTTTAAGGTCCACCCTCTGGATTCAGCTCGAGACACATCAGCAAAGGCCTTCATGGAAAAACACATCCGCTGGCTTTAATTCCCAAAGGTTTTGTAAAACATTTTAAATTCGTAAGCACATTCTGGCATTATGAACGTACAGAACAGGGGTCACATCTCATTTTCATCGGGGGCCACTTGAGCTTTATGGTGGCCCTCAAAGGGCCAGTTGTAGGGAATTCCCATGGATGATCGACATGCATTATGGGAGATGTAGTTTATGGTTAATGTTGGCTTTAAAGCAGCTTATTTTCAGACATTGATACTGTGCTGTCCAATTAAATTGTCACTTACTTAAAACCAACAGCTTAGGGGTAGAATAAGTATTATTATTGTTCACCTTTTACATGTGGATATTTTGTTGCATTTAATCATAAATTGAAAATTTACCATTTATATAAAAACAATTTTCATATTAGGTAAAAATATTTATTTATTTATTTATTTATTTTGGTAGGCCAGATGGGAGTAACGCTCCGGCCACATTTGGCCCACGAGCCTTGAGTTTGACTCGTGATTTAGAATGCTAAAAGAAAGTTAACTGTTGTAACTTTATTTTTTTTAATCCTCCTTGATCTCTTGATACCAAAAAGTTCACACTTTAAAATTAAATCTAATTCACACCCTTTGGACTTTGAGGTTTTTGAATCAAATCTAACTTTTTTTAGCTCAGAGCCTGAGTCACGCCAGTTATCAGATCACACACGTCATAGTTTACAACTTCAAACATTTATAACAATAATTTTGAAATTCTGTACATTAAATTAAACAAAGGCTTTTGGAATCTAAAGGGGAAAAAAACAATGTACATTTCAAGTTTCACTGAGGTATTTTTTTTTTACATTTATGTCAAAATTTTATTTTGTCACAAGGAACACCAATCTGTTAAAAACTGCCAAACAAAAGGGGAGCTCTGCCAAATTCTCTTCATCCACCCAAATTTACATGGCAGCCAATGAACACAATGACACTTGATCAAGCTCCTGAACTTGTTCTGGTTTATATGAAGGTTTAAATCTTTTATTTTCCATAAACATTTAGAGTCCGTGAAGATTTGTCACAAACTAAAAAAAAAGTCATTGCCCATCCGTGTCTTTTGAGGCGAGTCATTTTTTCTAATGTCTGGTCCTTTTTGACATTCAAACTGTAGCGGTGGGTAGCTCCTGGTTCTGAAGTCCCTGAAGGAAGGGTGGGAGTGGGGGGTGTAGTGGCATCACTGCAGGCGTGGCCAATACTGTGACATTTCTGATTCACTTCCTGGAACTTGGACTGGAACTGAGACACCGGGGGAAATAAGACCTGGTGAAAGAGCAGCGACAAGCTTTAAAAGAAATATGGTTCACTTTAAATCTTACCCAAATAAAACAATGCATTTTACATTAATACAATGTTTTACTACTCAATGTTGTTTCACCCAAATGGAAAAAAGTTGTGGAGCAACGTGGATCTTCAGTGTTCTGCCCAAGGCTACGTTCACACTGCAGGTCTTAATGCTCAGTTCCGATTTTTAGAAAAAATCTGATCTTTTTGTGTGAACGTTCACATTACATTTTAAATGTGAACGTTCACATTACATTTTAAATGTGACCTGCATCAGAC